TCCTAGCAGGGGTTACAGAGGAAACAGAGTGCTGCAGTAGGTGCCAAACTTTGTGGCCAGATACATTATCTAGAATTATTTCCAAACCATGAACTACGAGTCACCACACACATACAGAAGGATTTGCATGCATCCATCAGAGAAGCTGTACACAAAACACTTGGTGACAAGAAAGACGTGTAATTTCTCCATGCAGAATTAAATCTGGGGCATTACTGCATCCCAAGCTCTGAAGCCAGAAGCCAGACTACGATGCTGTAGTCACCAAAATATTAAGACTTATTTCTTAAAGCAGCAGTCACAGATCATCAGGGGTTGGGCTGAAAAATCACCTAGGCATTATTGATATGAACAAGCTAGCATGGAACAAGTTCTGAGGACCTTCCAACATGGACCTTTATGGACAGAAATGTAATTCACTGCTGATGAAAGCAATAAGCAAGCAGGTGATCTTTGGCATGAGAGGTGGGAGGAAATGGGAAAGCACTGCAAGAGAAAACATGGATCGGGAAAAAGCACTGTGCAACCAGTTAAACAACAGACATTGTGCAGAGACTGCAAGACAGAGATGTCCATCCTAACACTTCTCCCAGACCTTCACAGCATTTTTTCCTCTCAGATGTTTTATTTTGCATTTCCCACTCTAGTTTCAGCTCTCCCAAGGAACAGAGCTCTCGCTGCAGCCCTTTCCAGACTTTCTTCCACTACAGCCATCTCTTTCAAAGGTGTTTCTTGGAAACTTTTCCATCTCCCAGTTACAGTCTCCTCATCACCTGCAGTCCCTTATAGACAATTTCTATCCATAGCAGTAGCATCTGTGCATCAACCACGTACACACCAGCCACTCTATTAGCAAGGAGTGATTGTCTCCAGAGAACTCTGTAGACGCATGGCAAGTCTACTTCTCAAGACAACAGATCCTACTTGGGTGGTTAGGCATGGCAGAGCCAGGGACAGCACAAAACGTGTCAGTACAGCCTCTGGCTCATTTATACATCACTCACATTAAGTTGGGTCTACCTTTATTATGGGATACAGGAATTGCAGGATTTAAGGGGGAAGATGCATTTCTAAAAGCTGCAGGCTGTTGCTATACTCACATAATATCCCTGATCATTTCGGTAGAGCTTGAATATTATTTCTTAGAGAACAAAAGTTACTGCTGAGATTGTCAGTATTCCTGTAGCAAAATAATTATGGGCACCACAGCAGCCTAGAGATACTGCTACCTACATCCCCTGTCCAGAAAGGATCCCCTTTAGGAGCTCATGGAAGGATGCCTCAGACCTGCACTGCTCTTTGTCACAGCAGTCGTCCACGTCATATTCTCACTTTTCCATCCTCTTATGCATTATTTTTATTATTATTTATGTTTTTATTATTTTTAATACTAGTTACCAGTATTCCAGGCCACCCATTCCTTTGCTTTCCCGAAAATCTTGATATTTCTCACCTGTTTCAGATCTCTCTGATTCCTTCCAAATATTTTTGGCCCTGACTGACAGGCGTAACTCCTCTCAGTATAGCTTCATCTGCAACCTTAGCCTACAATGTTCTGTCTGCGGAGAGCACCGAGGATGAAGTTAAATGAGCACAAGCCCTGTAACATTCATGGCATTCACGGATCCCTGCAAGTCATTAGGTGGCACTACAGCTGACATTCTCTATTTCTGCTTAACTGAAAACTATATGCAGCTGGGCTACAGCGAAAGATAATAGCGATAAGGTAAATGCAATATTAATCTCTGCACTGCAGAAAAGCAAAACAGCACTTGGATGGTTTGGTGTCCTCCAGGTCAGTCCCACTCAAGGAGGGACTTGCAATCCTCCACTGAGGGGTTCTTCCCAGCACTAAGCATGTCAAGCCCCTTCGTAAATCTCAAAAAAAATTCAGATCTGAGGTGCACAGCTGAGATTCATGCACTATTAACACCTTTATACACGGATGGAGAAGGCACAGAACTAATGCTGAACAGAAGGAATGACAGATCATAGCTAGAGGAAAGGCTTAAGGAGATACACCTGCTGTGACACCATCACTGTGCTGGTGTTGTGGCATTTCTGGTGTAAAGCACAGGCTGAAAAGGGAGAGAATCCTGCCTCACATTTCAAAGCGGGAGGAATATACCCAAATGGGCAGAGCTGCATAAACACAGTACATGTCAAATATGGGCCAGAAGGAGCAGCAAGGGCAAGAGCTATTAAAAAAGTATGTGCACACGGGTACTGCCACAGGGTCACAGCCCTGTGTTGACAGACAACAGGCAAGGGGGTCCGCAGCAACAAAGAAGAGAATTTGCAGTCTCCTCAGCATGCCAGTACAGGAGATGGTTCAGAAATGGGGTCACTTTATTGATAATTTCCTGGAATACAGGTGCATGTGGTTTGGCTGCCTTGGTAACAGTTGCTATGCAACCAAGACAGAGATCTATATTTTTTTCTGTAATAATCTGAAAAACTCTGGGTTCGCATCACACGGACAAGCAGCAAGGTAACACAGTCTTTGTAATAAATCCTCCTTGTCCTCTCCAAGTCTCAGCAGAGCACGCTGCCACCACAGCCCTCCAGGGATGCCTCGGCCCAGGTGTGCTTTCCCCCCCAAGTCCCCTTCCTGACACTTGCCTCCTTCCTGAGGGCCTGAAAGGGAAATCAGGAGATGCTTTGAGTATTCGTCTGTGCAAGGAGAGCAGAGCAACTCAAAAAAGGCACAACTGCATGTAAAAGCAGAATCAGGCAACAGGTTTGGTTTCCTCGTTTCGTTGAGCAGTAGCTTTGTCTGTCCAGACCAGGAGGGATACTCAACAACAACCCTTATACACTGCACTTTGCAGTCTACTTGGCCATGTAAGCCTCTGAACAGCAATAATGGGGAATGTGAGAAACGTGGATGTCTGCTTGTAAAACACAGATGGCCATGGAGGATACAGAGCTGCACCATTACCACAAAAGCCAGGAGATGAACATTCACATTTTGGAATTTCCTTTATATAGGCAAAGAGGCCCCTTTGGTAGGGGTAGGATCTCACAGGGTTGATGGAACTCACAAGGCAGAAAAATCCTCCCTTTTTATCCACAGAAAACAATGCTAAAATCAGTATTTCACACGCAACATGGCATTAGCCAGAAGGGATGTGGCCCAGCTCGAACACTTACATAGATGTTACCCTGTTGGTAGCGCTGGTGCAGGTTCAGCAGCTTCATGCAGATCTCCCAGCATGGACATGTCTTCTACTCCATCAACACTGGTCTGGTGCATTGGCAAGACCTTTTCTCTGGAAAGGGAGGCCTTGGGGTACTGGAATACCTGTAAGAATGGGGAGAAGAACAAATAAGCGCACGACACCCGGGCACACGGTCTGATTTCCTTCCAGAAATAAGCCTTTACCACAGCTTTATACTTCAGCACTGGAAAAGGAAATGAATAAGCCACAAAACTGCTCCTTATTTTTATAGTCCTTCATCTTCTCCTGTTCCTACCTATTTGAGCTCTCTGGCCAGAAACCATACATCACACTTTCCTTCCTTTGCTACAGAGTCACACTCTCACCTTCACTACTGACAGGGACAGATCAGTGCAAGGTTACTTGACTTTAACTGAAGTGCCCTTAGTGTAGCAGGGGACCAGTCTCCAGGCGCACCAGGCCAGACAGGTATTGCTCACTGTGCTCATCACTGTAAAGAAGGGTGGCAGCTGCTTCCAAGAGACCAGGAACAGTTTTTCAGAAAAACACAGACGGGATTACTTCTCTGAGTGTGGGGAGGTTGAGGCAAAGCTTACTCGCATTCCAGGTTTGGCCCTGCACCAGAGCCAGAGTGGCTGGGAGAGGCTGCCTTGTCAATGGCAAAGAAAGGCAAAGCAGATGAGAAGCCAAATAAAGTGGGGACATCCTGTGTGCATGCCAGTGTGTGTGTATGCGATGCAGCTTTCGAAGTGTTTGTCCAGTGACAGCTATTAACTTCCACACCTGCTCTGGGAAGTGCCCTCTTTTCTCTCTACACAGTTGCACTCTTCTTGCCTCAATTGCTGCAACCTTATTTCTGCTGGAGCTTCCTCCTCCTCAATAACCCACACTTCAGCTATCGGGTCATGTACTTCACCCCCTTTCAACACAACTGAGATTACGTTACTGTTCCCCTCCACCATAGCCACGTCCCAGCCTTCCTTTCCTCCTTTCCTCCTCCTCAAGCACGATGCTGGCATTTCACAGAAGTTATTTCAGTTGCTTCCCACTCTTGGATTCAACCATGTGCCATCTCTCACCCAGCATCCCAAGCTGTGCTAGATGGTAAGACCCAAGCTAGACAGATGGAAGACTTCATACAGGCAACCTGAAGAAGCAAACTGGCCTGCGGTAACCCTTACAAAGAAACTTGGACTTTTCCTTCCCTTCTGGGGCTCTGGTATCTACCTCATGTCCATCCCTGCTTGTCAGCCCTCCCAGGTGCCCCCAGGAAACTGATGGATGCCACAGAGAATGAACCATTACTTATAGCATTGATCTAACCGAATGAACCATTACCTATAGCATTGATCTAACTGGCTTTTCCTGCCTGCTTTCTTGGAGTCCTCAGGCTGCCGTATCTGCTAGGGAGAGGCCATCCACGGAGCTGCAGGCTGCAGACAGAATGAGGTCACCCAGCCCCCTCCAGGGAGCCACCCTTGCCAGTCCCTCACAGGCAGCTCCCTGCTGCAGTGCGCTGCAGGTGCCCAGCGAGCACCCGCTGTCAGCTCTGTGCCTGCACCCTCGCCAGTGCAGGGAAGGAATAACCTGGCACAGGGTCCCTTTATAAGACCCCCTTGATGCCTGTAAAAGCAATCGAAGAAACAGTGCTGTTCCTGGAAGGAGCTCGGGAGGAGAAACAGGCTCATTTCACCAGGTGTGTTCACCCCAGGTCTGCCCAGTCACATGTAATGGGACAAGAACTTGGTCTCTTCCACTGGGAGACCATCCCATAGCCCAGTCTTCCTTCTGTCCAGGGGGCTTCAAAAATACTTAGTTCATGTTCATGAACAGCATAGAATGAAGCCCACTCCAGCACACAGGCTCCCTCCAGGCCTTTCTGGTCTTCCCTGCACCACTTCTGCATCTGAGTACCAGAAAAGTTTGACTCTGCCAGCAGCAGGACCCCCACTCTGCAAGCATGACCCCAAAAAACATCAATCTTTGCTTTCTTCAGAGCAAAAGCCTTAGACACATCCACAAAAGAACTGGGGGAGCAGAGAGAATGGGAAGAGGAGAGTACAAGCGGCGGATGCACTTACATGAACTGGGCTCTGTCGGGAGCAAAACCACTACAGCACTATAAACCATGAGGCAGCAAACCACCCTGGCTCTCTTTTCTCTGCTGACTTGGACAGATTTTGGAAGGGGACAAATCCAAAATGGTATGACGTGATACTTCCTTACATCTGCCTGGCACTTACTCATCTACCGCTGCATTGTCAGCACTTGTGGCCATTTGGGCCAGGAGAGAAACATCAAGAAAATGGCTAGGGAAAAAGCTGAGTGGACAAGTGTCCCAAAAGATACCAGGCAGTTGCCAGCACCTGTGCCAAGAGGCTGCTATGCCTGAAAAATAACTGTGTGATGGGTCAGAGCTTCTTTACTTGCTCTTGCAGACAACTCAGGAGAAAATGGAACCCTGAAGAGCAACAGGGGTCCCTAAATACGTGAGTAAAGGACTAGTAGGGATCAGATCATCACCTGTTAAACCCATCTTGAGCCGCCTGATTGGGGTTATTCAGCCATCCCTCAGAGAGGAGCATTGGCTCTGATACCCTCTGGACAGAAACACTGCATAGGTGAAATATACTCTCTGGAGGAGTGGACTGGTGCCACACCTTCACCCTTGCTAAGGCCAAGGTGTCACCTGTCTGTCCTTGAGGCTGGGGAGGTTCCCTAAATACCCTTGACATCTCTGCACCCCTAGTGGCTCACCCTTCCTCAGGCAGAGGCTGGGGCCTCCAGCCCCACTGAGATTTGGGAGGGGAGGTCTCTGTGCCCCTGGAAGGCACCTGTGGCATGAAGGAGAGGTTTCAGGCCTTCCCTGGCACTGGGAGAGAGTTGGCTTTTAATTTTAACTCTGCCCTCTAGGGTAGAGGCAAGTTTCCAGTCTCTGTATCACCAACAGGCTGCAGGGCTCATCCAAGGTCCTGGAGATAAACACGTTATTTTGTTCCCAAGACTGCATCAAAAAACTTTCCCTGAGAAGCTCTGAGCTCTGACACAAACATAACCCAGATATGGTGACCCTCCACTCTTAGAGCTTACAAGGTGCTGCACTGACCCAGGCCTGACAGACTCTTCTCCACCTCCAGCCATTTGCCAGGAGCAGCTGGAAGGACCATCCTCCCCATCATCCTGTTCCAGGTAAGGTAAGCCAGGCTGGCTTCAGCAGCTTGCATTACTGAGCCGAGTATGATGGCTGATTTTGCCTGAAGCAAGTGAGAACACAGACAAACTGATCTCTCAGCAGAGCTGCCTCTGGAATATCCCTTTTCCAACAAGCTGATACTTAAACAGAAAGTTATAGGTGCTAATAAGCAGATCTTTATTATTTGGGAAGAAAAAAACATTGTCTTTCAGTCTAACTACAATCAAGCCATCAAATACCACAGAGGCACCTCACAACACAGCCAAATATTCCTATTTTCTCCCCAGTGATAAACTGATTTCGTCTCAGAGTTAACCCACAGTCAGAATAAAAGGACCAGGACTCTCTCCAAGCCCCTGCAATGGTCAGGAATAAAGCAAAATCTGGCTGGCAGACAAGCCGAGAATTGCCAACCACATGAGGCTGAGTGGGGGAGAAATGATGCCTCCCCAACCTCAAGTCCATCCATTACTACAATCCCAAGCACGTGAGCAAAGCTCCCACTCAGCATCTAAGTTATGCTTATCCATCCAGCATTTGGCTGCTCTGTCGGGACTGTGGTTTCCAATCTTGCATTTTTTAAGTGTCGGCTCCTCCTTTCCTCCCTGGGAGACGCATTTCTGATGGCTGTGTTGCTTGAGGTGTTTTTAAGAAAGGGAAAACAAATAGCAAAAGCCCTGAAGCACGACTGGACTTCTTACCTCAGAGCTGCAAGAACTGCAGGAA